TAGCCCATCGGCTCTAAATAACATGAGCAACTTACAATTTGAAACATGGACCACAACCCTGTCAGTAGCCCAACATTTCCCAGAGTTGTCGCCCTTACAAGCTCCAAGCTGTGCATAATGGCCTGAGCCCACTCGTCTACTTTTTACGCGAGAAGGAAATGTTAATCCACATTGTATGTCAAGACTAGATCCTCTATCCACTAATATGCTAGATACGTCCGTTCTTTCGTTTACTTTGAAATATAGTCGTAAATATTTAGTGATACCTGTTTTAAAAAAGAAAGTTTTGTAGACACATTTTAACTATTACTACATATTAAAACGTTTTTCTTAACTCAGCTTCGCGTTTGTTTGTTTGGATGTTTGTTGTTAAAATTGACATCGAAAATTAGCCCACTTCTGATTGCTCTAGAGACCTGAAATTTGGCATGCATTCTACTTTCGCCTAACAATTTCAGATGCAATCATAAAAACTAGCAATTAGTGACCGTAATTAGCTTAATTTAATTACGCCCCAAGGACCATAAAATTGAGGACATGATTTCTAAAGATACCGACAAGACTGGAGGCTTATTCACACAGTTACTTCGGCCCCAATCGATGTGAGCGCGCTGGCCGTGATCGTATAGTGGTTAGTACTTCGCGTTGTGGCCGCGACAACCCAGGTTCGAATCCTGGTCGCTCAAGATTTTTAGTCCGTGTATTTATAAACACTTTTTTAAAAACCACGTTTTTCATGTGTAGCAACGGACTAAAAAGGAGAAAATAAAATACTTAAAAAAAACTTTTTAAAAAACCACGTTTTTCTTGTGGACTAAAAAGTAGAAAATAACTATTTACATACATTTGATGACAAAAAACGTGGGTCGGGCAGATGGTTCGGGAAATTTGATGGTGAACGTACCCACGTTTTTTGTCATCAAATGTATGTAAATAGTTATTTTCTACTTTTTAGTCCACAAGAAAAACGTGGTTTTTTAAAAAGTTTTTTTTAAGTATTTTATTTTAAGTCTCTTCCTATTTTTACAATTTTATTGTTACAAAGTGAATATAAAGAATGGTAAGAAAAATCATACACTTCTGCGGTAAATATTCATTTTGGCTGAAGAAGACTTGACAGCTATAAACTCTGTCATCGCCACATTCTATAGCTGGTAGTGTAAACTTGACACTTTTTCCTGTAGATGTCGCCAGTGTAATGCCATTTCCGTCAACTATCGCCATCTTGTAGGTGTAGTTGGGTCTAGGTTGACACGGATGGAGTGTAGTTGTTGAAGTAGTTTTTGAAGTAGTTGTTGTAGTAGTTGTTGTAGTATCAGCTTTACGGGTTGTAATAGCGAGTGTCGTCGTCGTTGTTGGGTCTGTTCAAAATAATTGATAATGTAATTTTATTTTTTCTTTACAGTAAGTGGATTATAATCTTTTTTATAAATAAACCACAGTTTTGTTAATACTGGAAATGATTTAAAAGTTAAAGTCTTATCAATTATATAAAAGCGAATAAAACAGCAAATCTTGTCAGATTAATTGTCGGAAAATTATAAAATACAAAACGAACAATTTATTGGAAAAAGAAAAGTAGGTATGAAACAATTTTGGAAAAGATAAGCTGTGAATGAAGAGAAAAATTTGACAATTATAACCGGAAGTTGCACTATTTCGTGTAACACACTTTGATTGGCTCTATAGAAACTGTGATCGATTTTCTGAAAAAACTCACTTTATAGTAATTCGCATTCAAAGCTTTGTTGATATGCCTACTTTTTAAAATAACATTTTACGTTTTTTTAACAACATCTAATTATGTCATTTTCACCGACAAATAAATTTCTTTTGATGTTTTTAAAAATGCTGTTTATTTACTTCATATTATACTAGCATCAACAGTTAATACATCCAATCTTTCGTAAGACCAATAAAAACTTTACAATACAGTTTTTATAACCACTTTATTTTAAAACATTACACACATTTAAAAAAAATTCAAAACAATTTTTAATTAACCTACGAGATTATTTTCGTTGTCAATTTTTGCAGCGGTCAATGTGATAAAGAGGCGTAGCGACCCTTCCCGGCGCCCGGGGACAATTTTTCGATTTGCACCCCCCCTCAAGATTTCGATTTGCACCCTCCCCCCCCCCCTAAAAATTTTGATTTGCACCCCCCCCCCCCCCCACAAATTTTCGATATGCACCCCCTCAAGCTTTCAATTTATTTTTCCAACCCATTTTGGCGCCCCCTAAGGTCGGCGCCCGGGGAAATATGTCCTCCCCGCCCCCCCCCATCGCTACGCCTCTGATGTGATATGCAGTTCCAACATGCAGTTCTAGCAGTTACCAAAAGTCTGAGAATGTAGACTACTCACCTGTGTTTTCATGTACCGACTTTGAACTGCACGCTGAAAATGTATAGATTTAGATTGTTACCAGTTAAAAATATGTCTATTGTCCGTCCATGAAGGAAAGTTAATATTATGTACAGTGCGTAAATCAATAAGTAAGTAAAGTTCCCTTTCAAACCTGACGGTCAATGGGGCAAGTGAAGTAGAGTTCACTTGTTTCTGTGACCTCGGTATATGAAGAGATAGTGTGGTCAGCACTATGCCCAGCCGCCTTTACTTTCCCTAACATGAATTAGGTACCCATCAGAGTTGGGTGGACTCAGGGACGGTCTACTGACTTGAACCCGGATTCAAACTCGAGACTAACGGGTTAGCAGTTCAGCTCTCTACCGCTAGACCACTCCGTCCCAAATCAATAAGACTTGTTGATGAATTTACACGTACGATCAATATTTTGTTTTATTTCGTTATCGAAAAACAATGTATTTTATATTATTAAACACGAAATATGCTAACTGGTTTGATATACAGATAAAGAAAATATTGTAAACTATTACTAATTATAAATTCGGAATGGGGTGGTGAGATGGTAGAGTGGACTACATTTACCACGAAGGTCTCGAGATTAGAACTTGGATTGGGATACAGAACTACAAATTTGATAGAATACTTAAATGTGAAATTTCATCAACCTAGCTGTAGCGGTACTCAAGTTATCGTGTTCACAGACGCACAGGCACACACACATACACACCGACGTACAAACAAAATTGCAAAATTCAGTTTTTTTTTCCTACTCAGGAAGGTCTAGAACTTCAAGATTTGTGAAAATCTCGATTTCAATTTGTTGAACGATTACAATACTCCCTCTATACTTCGTATACGAGAAAATAAAAAACCTACCATAATTAGAATCAAATAAACATAATATAATCAGCATCAAAAGTACTTCATTAGGAAACATTTCTCCTGAAATCTGCTGGCAAAATTCTATTAAAGTATGTCTTGTAGGCCTATACAACGTTAGAATAAAGCAACCGTTTTAAAACGGTTTTTAAGCTCGACAAAATTCGATGATTCAACAGCAAGGGAAACAAGGGAAACATGACCTCACGCTAATACTTGGGGGGGGGGGGGGGGGGGGCACTTGATGGTGACAGCGTTATTGATGACGTCAAAACTCTTTACTTCAATCTCACTACGCCTACCATTTTGGAATGTGTCATCACATCGCCATAAAGATTACCATGTTTTGGAAATTAAACAAAAAAATAATCAAGTGTCCACTACGCATATATGGAACGGCATGGCCTATGCAGTAGAGCTCTAGGCTGCTAACCCGGAAATCTCGAGTTCGAATCCGGGACCCAGTCAGTATAACGTCACTGAGTCCATCCAGCTCTAATGGGTACCTAACTCATGTTAGGAAAAGTAAAGGCAGCTGAGCAAAGTACTGACCACACCCTTTCTTTCATATGCAGAGGTCAAGAAACATGAACTCTACTTCATCTGCCCAATGGATCGCTAGGTCTAAAGAGAATACTTTAATTTTAACTTAATACACATATCCTACTTTTTATTTTTCTATTTATAACCTCTTAAATAGTACAGATTCTCAAAAAATAATGACTATATACATGTATTTGTTTACAAAACTGCATCTGCGAGGGATGATTCTTAATATAGGCTTTTAATTTTCACCATATCTAAAATAAATTAAACAGATCAACTCTGCTTCACCTGACATAGCGACCACTAGTTCTGAGAGGGCACTTCTTGTAAACTATGAACTTGAAAACCTCTTGGCCTAGCATCAAGTGACTAAAACTAATTATCACGGGACGTCTTCTGAAATTGTAATTGCCATACAGGACTTTGACATTGAGATAAGCTAAACTCGTGGTAGATGTTTTGTTATAAATTAAACAATAGACATTACACCTGTGGATTGAGGCGTATAGAGGAAGATTTAATCAACTAAACTACAGGTAATTCAGTGAATGTAGTAACTTACTAGTCACTTTACTTCACTACATCACATTTTCATTCTATCACCGTCTGCAGGAAAACTATAAAACAATTTTAATCAACTGTTTTAAACAATACTTTATAAACACACTTTTTTTACTATTTTAGCATACGAAAAGACGATATCGTTGAATGGTAAGGTACACGCTTAATATTAGTCTTGAGTTCAGTTCTTGGGCTTTAGAACGTAGGACATTTTTCTGTCCACCTATATAGGGAAAATAAATGCCATCGTGCATAATGCTGACCAATTTCCAGAACTCTACTTCATCTGCTCAAGACACTGCTACGTATTAAGATCGAGTAGAAAGAATATAAGCCAATTGTTGAATGATTTGTTCTGTGCGGTGTCGCAGTGAAAGCCTTTTGAAACGTTGCTAATGTTATTCTTACACCCTTCGCAATGACAAAATCTTGCCTTACCAAAATTAGGCTTACATTACATTTAATACACCTCCCTACCCAAACTTCATATGCCGAGGTCACAGAAACAAGTGAACTCTACTTCACTTGCCCCATAGACCGTCAGGTTTGAAAGGGAAACTTACTTACCTACCCAAACAAAACCAAAGTTTAAAAGCCCATCTCAAACGATTATTTAATCTACAACTATGTAACAAATGTATTATCCCCAGGTTTAAAAAATCGTCCTAGATCAAATTTACAGAATGGCCTTGACCCTAACCATGTGTCTGGCCGCCTTGCTAACCTTAACGTCATCAGCCCCGTCTGAAGATTTAATCGTTAACCTGCCGGGATTAACATGGGAGCCAAACTTTAAACAATATTCGGGATATCTGAGTGTTGGATCAAAGATGCTCCACTACTGGTATGTGTTTGGTCGAGTGATTTGATATGGGCTGTGTACACTACTGGTATGTGTTTGGTCGAGTGATTTGATATGGGCTGTGTACACTACTGGTATGTGTTTGGTCGAGTGATTTTGTTATGGACTGTGTACACTACTGGTATGTCTTTGGTCGAGTGATTTAATATGGGCTGTGTACACTACTGGCTGTGTACACTACTGGTATGTCTTTGGTCGAGTGATTCAATATGGGCTGTGTACACTATTGGTATGTCTTTGGTCGAGTGAGTTAATATGGGCTGTGTACACTATTGGTATGTATTTGGTCGTGGGATTTAATATGGGCTGTGTACACTACTGGCTGTGTACACTACTGGTATGTCTTTGGTCGAGTGATTCAATATGGGCTGTGTACACTGTTGGTATGTCTTTGGTCGAGTGATTTAATATGGGCTGTGTACACTATTGGTATGTATTTGGTCGGGTGATTGAATATGGGCTGTGTACACTACTGGTATGTGTTTGGTCGAGTGATTCAATATGGGCTGTGTACACTACTGGTATGTGTTTGGTCGAGTAATTTAATATGGGCTGTGTACACTACTGGTATGTCTTTGGTCGAGTGATTTGATAAGGGTTGTGTACACTATTGGCTGTGTACACTATTGGCTGTGTACACTACTGTTATGTCTTTGGTCGAGTGATTTAATATGGGCTGTGTACACTATTGGCTGTGTACACTACTGGTATGTCTTTAGTCGGGTGATTCAATATGGTCAGTGTACACTACTGTTATGTGTTTGGTCGAGGGATTTAATATGGGCTGCTTCTATACAACATTGGCAATGAATGTGCCAGAATCGCCATTGTTATTACGTGCTGATGCGACTGGTCGAGTGACAGCGGGTTTAGACGTGTATGTTGTACAGAGTGAACGAGGGTAAGCGAGTGGTCCAGTGACAGCGCTGCGTGTAGTGAGCGGGACGAAGATGGTGTGTTGCGATGAATGGCAGTTAGAGGTCACTTTTGGTAGTGAGGGGTAGCTTTTTTGTGACTAAAAACCGTTAAATAGATCAGATTCAACTGAATTTTACCTCAACTGGTGTATGTTGCTGCGTCCCTATTGAGTTAGTAAAAAGAGCACCCTCACACTTTACTTTAATAACTGGACTAAAAATGTATTACTAAAATGCAAAGCTTTTATACAAGTATGTTTTAATTTCTACATTCAAATACGTAGGCCTAAACTAATAGACCAGTCCTTCAGATATTAAAACATTTAGAATAAGTGTAAAATGTAGAGGTAGGATTCAATCTGAGTGACAATTGGATTGAATGAGATTTGGATTTTGTTAGGGTTAATACTCGGTAAAAATAATCAAAAGGGTTAGGGTTAAGTGCTGATATTAGTAATGATATTTCACTTTTTTAATGTCGTTTATTACAATTGTTTTCTTTAAATAAAAGACTTAATGAACTGTTGTCTCTAAACAATTTAAGTTTTAAATAATTTTAACAAAACTACCACGTGAACAGTGTTAGTGGGCCCCTCAGAGGCGTAGCGACCCTTCCCGGCGACCGGGGACAAACTTTCGATTTGCACCCCCCTCCCCCCCCCCCCCTCAGACTTTCGATTTGCACCCCCCCCCCTCTCAGACTTTCGATTTGCACCCCCCTCTCAGACTTTCGATTTGCATCCCCCCCCCGCCCTCAGACTTTCGATGTGCACCCTCACCTCAAACTTTCGACCTCAAACTTTCGAAAAGGGGCCCCTATTGGCCTTGGGCCCCTATGCCTTGCTTAAGCTAGCTTTACGGTAGCTACGCCACTGCACTTGAAACGAGCACAACTTCACACCTATAATATGAATAACTGAACTGAGCCAAACGCTTGTAACTGGTCCGTAGGTTCGTCGAGTCCACCAACAACCCCAGGACGGACCCGCTTGTGTTGTGGCTGAACGGTGGCCCAGGGTGCAGCTCCTTGGATGGCTTTCTCACAGAACACGGGCCCTTCAGGGTCTGCTACTCTTGTATTATTATTAATTTTTTTGTTGTAACCCGTTATCTCCCTTAAAAGTTTTAAACTCGTTACCTACCTTTAAAATTTTAAACTCGTTACCTCCCTTTAAAGTTTTAAACTAGTTACTTCCCTTTAAATTTTTTAAAACTCGTTACCTCCCTTTAAAGTTTTAAACTCGTTACCTCCCTTTAAAGTTTTAAACTCGTTACCTCCCTTTAAAGTTTTAAACTCGTTACCTCCCTTTAAAGTTTTAAACTCGTTACCTCCCTTTAAAAATTTAACTTCGTTACCTCCCTTTAAAGTTTTAAATTCGTTACCTCTCCTTAAGGTTTAAAAGTGTCGTTAAAATAAAATGTTTTATTTTTTAGGTTGACACAAGCGGGGAGACCCTAATACCATTTCCCTATGCTTGGAACCAGGTAAAGTACTTGGGTCACGTGTGTTATTTGTATCATACCAGATGCGTAGCGAGGGGGGGGGGGGGGGGGGGCGGGGGAGGACATATGTCCCCGGGCGCCGGGAAGGGTCGCTACGCCTCAGTATCATACTTAGTAAAGAGAATATGTAAAGTGTTTTATTTTTTGTTGTTAATGTTGTGTATCAAGCAGTGCCGGCGCTACCTATAAGGCGAACTAGGCGGTCGCCTAGGGCGCCATCATTAGGGGGGGGGGGGAGCGCAAAAATGTGTAATCGCCATTATCGAAAAGTACCAAATAATTACTAACTTTGATTATCTTTTATAAACTATAGACTGTTGTATACAAAGGCTTAGCAATCTATTTCGGCGCACAGGACGAACTATTAATTTTGCGCCCTCTCCCCCAAATAAGGCCTACATTTAGTCGCGTTGGTGAAAATTTACCCCCACCACTCTACTAAGTATTTTTTTTTAAGGATTCCCATTATTTTGGGGACTCAAAACCATATTCTTAGATTATGTCGAACAAGCAAAATATAAATGAATGTCATCGATACTGAATAGAAGTATGTTTAAATAAAGCTACTATGTTTATACTTTCGAACAACCTAAGTAGTCAATTGGCAATATATATTGTTTTGACGTGGTTACACAATTAATATAAAAAATAGGTAAAATAATTATGTAATGAAATTCAAAGAGTTTTATTGTGTTTATTAAGCATGTCTTAGTTACACTTGGTTAATTTAGCTATTCTCGTGAAAGTTATTTCCCTTGAATAAAATGTCGGTATTTGTATTTCAAAAGGGGAGATAATTCGTTCTTTACTCTACATTCACTTCAAATTCCTGCACCTTAGATTGGCCGCTTACTTATAAATAAAACTTTAAGTTATTATTTGCTATTGTAAAATTTATATAGAGCAGAAGTTCAAAACAAAATAGTTTGGTAGGTTGTTTTTTTAGCATTATCAAGTTGAAAAACAAATAAATTTGTAGCCATTGTAGATTGCAATACTTAATATTAGTAGATATACACTACAGTATGAGATAGCGCAACTGATATGTCTAAAAATGTCTAAAATTAATCATTTGATTAATTAAGGGTATTTTTCATATTTTTCACCCTCTCATAAAGTACTATAATTGTAGGCTGAAATCTATAACATTTACAACCTTTTATTTTTCAAAAACTAAAAATCGTTACATAATCACACAACATAGATATTTTACAATTATAACTAAAGAAAGTCAAGTTTAAAACATGTCAGTTCCGTTCTGGAACTCACCTTCAGAGGCGTAGCGATCCTTCCCGGCGCCCGGGGCGAACTTTCAGTTTGGCGCCCCCATATATATATATATATATATATATATATATATATATATATATATATATATATATATATATATATATATATATATATATATATATATATATATATATATATATATATATATATATATATATATATGCTTGTGTTTTTGTGTGTGCGACAGTCTGGAAAAAAAATTAACAATTACGCTGATTGTCGTTCCCTAAAACTTCACTAGACGTCAATTGAATTCCCCTTAGGATGCCGAAACGAACAAAAAGTAAAAAATCAAAAGGGCTTAGAACAGTGGGCTACATCGAACCCGAGAGGTTCGGTAATTCAGTCTCAGGGCTTCCGCGGAGGTCAAGACACACACCTGACTCATAAGATTCACGATCGCATTGTGTCATTGTGGACGATACAACTATTAAGGAGGGTTCGGTGATTGCGCATATGAAACTGGTTGGGTTCGGTACTCCAAATAGTTAGGAACCACTGCTTTAGAGTGTATTTTGTAGAAGGTGCAAGCCTTATTTGGTCTACTTTTGGTCGTGTCTTCGATAATAGTAAGCCAATATTGCAATTTTGAATTATCAGTTAGGTTGAACAAAGTAATAATCAGTACAATATACTAATTTTCTTCTCTCTTTAAATGTTGGCAAAGAGTGTCGCTTCCGTTCCACCCGCTCCGGCAGTCTGCTAACTCTTTTTTACTTTCTCGTATATACGTAGTATAGAGAAAGTATTGTAATCGTGCAAAAAAAAAAAAAAATCGAGATTTTTACAAATCTCAACGTTTTACACCTCACTGATACGGAAAAACATAATTTTGCAATCTTGTCCGTATGTCTGTGTGTGTGTGTGTCTGTGTTTCTGTGTGTCTGTGTGTCCGTGTGTAAACACGATAACTTGAGTACCGTTACAGCTAGGTTGATGAAATTTCATATATAAGTATTATATCTAAATCGTAGATCCGTATCAACTTTTGAGCGATTTCCGACAACCGGAAGTGGTACTTTTTCTACTTTGAATTTTTCAAAAGCCTATAACTTGAGTACTATTTCAGATAGATAAATGAAATTTCACATGTAAGTAAAAGATCTAATTTTCTACCTTCTGTTAAATTTTGAGTAATTTCCGTTGATCGGAAGTAGTAATTTACGCTACTTCCGATTTCTCAAAAAACTAATGTAAATTTTTAAAATACTAATAATATTGCGCACTATTATGCGCTTTTTTATTTGGCGTTCACTTGGTGTGCAATTAATTTGTCTAGGAGATTTTATTCTATTTTTAAAAGTTTAAGTATTTAAAATGGATTAAAAATCGTGTCTATAGCCCGAGTTCCCATCCCCTGTTATTTTATATAAGAATATTCGAGAAAGTTTAGGGGAGATCACTCCCGGTTTATTATGTTACACAATCGTAAAATACGCTTTAGTTCCATGGGTTTCTTTTCTGAGTGATATCGGCTATTTATTCCTTAATCCGATGTGAATTTTTCCGATTTTAGTCTTCGAAAAAGCGCCCCCCCCCCCCCCCCTAGGAAAGCTGGAAAGCGGTTTTTCCGGTCACTATTTCTTAAGGATATACGTTTTACAGTTACACAATCAAGGTAGAGAACAGTTAAATCAGTATGCAAAGGCTCTCAGCCGTTAAATTTCTTTACTTTGACTGTATAATTCAAAACTGCAGCTTAAAATGAGCTTTTAATTTTATTCTACCCCATTTGGCGCCCCCCCCCCCCCCTAGGGTCGGCGCCCGGGGCGGCCGCCCTCCCCGCCCTCCCCTAGCTACGCCTCTGCTCACCTTGGGAGGTCTGCGGGCGAAGGAGGCAAGTAAAATTGGAAACGGCAATTCCCTAATTAACTAATGGATTTTTTAAAATATGTAATAACGTCCTTTGGTCATTGATATGGCAACACAAGACAATTCCCCGCCCCCATTAACATACACGTAGGCCTTATATGTGAGATTAATGTTCACACAAGCTGAAGTGAGGTTGCTTACATTTTCAGCTAGTCTACCGGACGTCCGGACAGTAACGTTCGTTTGTTTGACCACATTAACTACAATGTACTAGCTCTTTGTTTTGATCGGCGCTTTGCTCTTGCTTTGAGTGTCGCTTCAGCAGATATAGGAGCTGTAATGTCGTGCATTTTGGCCTTGTAAATTATATTACTTTACTCGATTATACCCCTCCCCCCTCCCCAACGTTTGCAAACAGATTACACACATATTCACCCCTTCCTTTTTAAACTATGACGTAATAATTAGATCCACTTCCCACCATGTAAATTCACCTCCCCCACCATACAAAATGCCAAATAACTTTTCCACCTGTCTGTCTACTCCTCAGGTAGCCAACATGATCTACCTGAAATCACCTGTCTTTCTACTCCTCATGTAGCCAACATGATCTACCTGTCTGTCTACTCCTCAGGTAGCCAACATGATCTACCTGTCTGTCTACCCCTCAGGTAGCCAACATGATCTACCTGTCTGTCTACTCCTCAGGTAGCCAACATGATCTACCTGTCTGTCTACTCCTCAGGTAGCCAACATGATCTACCTGTCTGTCTACTCCTCAGGTAGCCAACATGATCTACCTGCAATCACCTGTCTGTCTACTCCTCAGGTAGCCAACATGATCTACCTGCAATCACCTGTCTGTCTACTCCTCAGGTAGCAAACATGATCTACCTGCAAACACCTGTCTGTCTACTCCTCAGGTAGCCAACATGATCTACCTGTCTGTCTACTCCTCAGGTAGCCAACATGATCTACCTGCAATCACCTGTCTGTCTACTCCTCAGGTAGCCAACATGATCTACCTGCAATCACCTGTCTGTCTACTCCTCAGGTAGCCAACATGATCTACCTGCAAACACCTGTCTGTCTACTCCTCAGGTAGCCAACGTGATCTACCTGTCTGTCTACTCCTCAGGTAGCCAACATGATCTACCTGTCTGTCTACTCCTCAGGTAGCCAACATGATCTACCTGTCTGTCTACTCCTCAGGTAGCCAACATGATCTACCTGTCTGTCTACTCCTCAGGTAGCCAACATGATCTACCTGCAATCACCTGTCTGTCTACTCCTCAGGTAGCCAACATGATCTACCTGTCTGTCTACTCCTCAGGTAGCCAACATGATCTACCTGTCTGTCTACTCCTCAGGTAGCCAACATGATCTACCTGTCTGTCTACTCCTCAGGTAGCCAACATGATCTACCTGCAATCACCTGTCTGTCTGCTCCTCAGGTAGCCAACATGATCTACCTGTCTGTCTACTCCTCAGGTAGCCAACATGATCTACCTGCAATCACCTGTCTGTCTACTCCTCAGGTAGCCAACATGATCTACCTGCAATCACCTGTCTGTCTACTCCTCAGGTAGCCAACATGACCTACCTGCAATCACCTGTCAATCACCTGTCTGTCTACTCCTCAGGTAGCCAACATGATCTACCTGGAATCACCTGCTGGTGTCGGCTTCTCTTACTCACGTGACGGCAACTACTCAACAGACGATGATGACGTAAGCTAAGCCATTTTTTTTATCTTTAAGGGGGGTGGGGGTGCGGAACGCACCGGGTGACACCATTTATGGGGGTGACGCCAAGGCAAAAAAATAGCTAAATATATAAAGAAAAATTTGGGCGGGGGGGGGGGGGGAGCAAATCGAAAATTTGAAAGTTTGTCCCCGGGAAGGGTCGCTACGCCTCTGGGAGGGTGACACCATTAAGTGCCGCACCGGGTGACACCCGACCTCGCTACGCCACTGGGGTTTCGGTTCCTTCAAAGAGGTTAAGAACCACTGCATTACAGTGATATTAAGTAGGCTATTAATAGACACGTAGCTGGGTGTACCGATTCTGGCTGTATATTTTAGAATTTTAATTTATCTTATTCTTTTAATAAATATTCAATAAATATTGATTTAAAATGTAAAACACTGTTTGAAGCTTTCATGTCAATATGATTTGAATATTGTCCGTCTCTATTGACTGTGGGTGAAAGCGAGGCGGTGCGGGATGTAGAATGTAGGTCTACCACGCGATGATGGACTTTGGTAGTTGTTGTCAGAGTTTCTTCCGGGCATCTCTTCCGCCACCACCCCCCCCCCCCCCAAAGAAAGTCTATCGCCCCCCCCCCCCCCCCGAAAAAAAAATCTACCGCCACCTCCCCCCCCCCCCCCCCCCCCCCGAACGAAATGAAATTTAAATAATTTATAAAGAAAATATATACTTTTAACAGTGTCCGCCCCCTCCCCCCCCCCCCCCCCCGAAGAAAGTCTACCGCACCCCCCCCCCCCCACCGAAGAAAATCTACCGCCCCCCCCCCCGGAGAAAAAAGTCTGGAAGAAACACTGGTTGTTGTAAATGTAGAAATGTTATGTTTTGGAGGATTGGACATATTCTATCGACTATTATGTATTTCCTACAAAGCAATCGTTATTAATTAAACCCTAATCCAAGTGTTGCTCTTAATAAATGTTATTTTATGTTTCTTTTCAAACTGATCCGCTTAAACTTTGTTAATGAAATGTTTATTAGATTTTAATTGTTATCGATTATTTCAATATGATATATGAGAATCGGAATAATGATAACTGTAATGAACATAGTTGGAGTAAAAGCAAATGCTATAGAGTCCTTTCATATGACGTCACGTCCGTTCGTGATACCTACGCCCGCCGCCACAGTGGTGTACACAAGACGTAAACACAATCAGCTGTTCGCCAGCGCTGGACGTGTTCACCAGCGCTGGACGCGTTCACTGTATGTAAAGAACCGCACCCGCGGAAAAGGAAAAATACGTTAAAAAACTTGAACTCTTAGGAATTGAAGATCCTTATACTGTTATTGACAGTTTCGTATAAATAAATATGTGGACAAAATTTCTAAATAAAAATACTGTTAGTAATACTGTTTGCGTTTAGAGTTAAAGTAGCCGAATCTGATCAAATGCAGTTCTCGATACTTTGTTTCATGTAAGGACAGTAAAATAATAAACTTCATTTTAATTATAAAAGATAACTATTAATAAAACAAATATGCTCGACCTTCACAAATACTAATAGTAAAAGACAAAGTCAAAAGTAATAGGCTAATAAGAATAATAAGATCTAATAGTAGGCCTAATACCTGGCTCCGCTGGGTAGACATAGAATCTAGAATCTACTTCTTTACTTAAATTTAATTACTTTAGATCTACATTCGATTCAAAATACACCCATAATAAATCAAAAGTAGTCATAATAGGCCTAATAAAGCATTTAATTGTCTCTAAGATCTAAAATCTCGCTCTATTATCTAATCATTTTTTTAGCAAACGAAATTTTCTGAAATTGAAATAGATTATATGACTAGACTTAGATCTAGAATCTGCTACTTAAATTAAATTGTAAAAACTTTATACAAGCATGTAGTTGATGTTATTGTAGTAGAAGGCTTTAATAAATTACTAAGGCCTACCTACTTTGTTGTCTTTTTACAGCAATATGTATCTGATACTGGACTGAGTTTAATTAAATTCAAATTCATATCTAGTAATTGGTCTACTAAGTTTTTGTAGCCTAGTAGTACAATCTAGATCATACCAGCCAACAACAAATAACCACATTATTATTATTTGGTTAATGATTAGGCTAAATTTTTTTTTAAATCCACTGTTTATAAAAGAAACAAATCAAGCTAGAAACATTATAAGTGAGATGGTTTAAAATAATAACAATGGACCCAGTCTACAATTGATACAATTGCAGGTCTACATAGGGCCTACAGTCTAGTAGTTTACAGTAGGCACCTAGTGTGTAGCTAGTATACTAGTGTGTAGCTGTCCAGATTCTTAATGCCTTAATGCTTTCCCCTGATAAGCCGTGTGTGCTATAAATGACATAACATGACACCGAGGTGAGAAGTGTTGAGGGGAGAGCAGTGGGACTTTCCCCTTTGTTCTCCCTGCTGGGCCCTGAGGGTCAAAATTATATCAGAAATACTATCTCTGTGGGGCTGGGTATCACGGAGGTGAGACATTTTCAGGGGAGGGCAGGGCAGACTCCTCTTTGGTTTTATTGTGGGCTAGATACAGGTGGGGGCAGCCATCATGAGGGTTGAACGTCAGTATTAATGTGTCTGATTACTTCCCTGCTGGATTATAAGGGTCTTAAATTGTATAACATGCTACCCAGATTGGTTATTACCCATGGATTATATTAGCCGTTGTAGTGTGGGTTTTGTAGGAGTTAAGTGGTCTCACGTTTGCTACAGTAAATAACCTCTAATATATTACTGCATTTGATCAGCTTCGTCTACTTAAACTCTAAACGCAAACGGTATTACTAACAGTATTTTTATTTAGAAATTTCGGCCACATATTTATATTATCCACGAAACTGTCAATAACTGTATAAGGATCCTAAGAGTTCAAGTTTTTAAACATATTTTTCCTTTTCCGCGGGCGCGATTCTTTACATACGGTGAACACGTCCAGCGCTGGTGAACACGTCCAGCGCTGGCGAACAGCTGATTGTGTTTACGTCTGATGTACACCACTGTGGCGGCGGGCGTAAGTATCACGTGATTTAGGTCACGTGTTTGCAAGGACTCTATTGGCTTAGATCAAATTAGAAATTCCTTTGGATAGCAATATTATTGCTATTTTTTTATAGCAAAATTGTTGCACTCCAATAATAAACACTGTAAGCTTATTGCCAGTATCGCCCTCTATCTTTTACAATCTGCTTCATATTCATGCATTGTTTGTGATTACATTAAAAAAATTTGCGTCAAACTTCAGACTGCTAAAAATAACCATCTGGCACTTCGAGATTTCTTCAGAAAGTTCCCCGAGCTGGCTAGCAATGATTTCTACATCACAGGCGAGAGCTATGCTGGGATTTATGTTCCAACCTTGGTCTCGCTGGTTCTAGACGATTCCTCCATTAATCTCAAGGTTTGAAGTAGTTAGAGAATGTACGTATTTGTCCATGTATTGGCCTAATTAACCAACCAGTACCCATTATTGTCACGTGTCTGTTTAATTAGATTAACATCTTCCCCACGTCCCTTAAACTTTAACCCTTTTAATTAAATTAGATTAACTTTTTAACATTTGTTTTGCATTTACATTTAAATGAAAAACTTACAAGATAAATACTTAGGTCGATGTTTAATTATATCATTAGCCCCCTCCCCGCCCCTTCGCATGCGTAGCTTAAATTGTGTGATATCGGACGTCATATAAAACTTGTGAGCCCTACTAGTCTACTCATTAATGCCTGAGAAAGGTTGGCGATAACAGAATGAAACTCGTAAATCTATACTCTACCCAGTGACAGTCAAAAATCCTAGCTCAAGTAAAAATCTGAAAGTTAGCTCATTCGTTAAAGGGAAAAAATCGATTAATTTTTTTTTTTTACCAAGTAAACCCAATCAAATCTGTATAAATTATAAATGTAGATCAAATAAAATTATAAATCATATACTTAATATTTAATATAGATCTATTTATTGTTATTTATTATAGATCTAAATCTATATTCATATTAGTATTAGTATTTGATTTTTTGTTTTTTAAATTACTTTTTATCAGGGTTTTGCGGTTGGAAATGGTTTGTCCGATAATAACATGAACGACAACTCTATTGTTTACTTTGCCTACTTCCACGGCCTAATCGGAGAGGAGTAAGTTTCATAATGAACATAAACAAAAATTAAATTAAGGGTTAAAGAATTTTCTTTATACCTTAGTTTAGCGTCGGTTATTATTCCGGAATCGTATAGCAGTAAAAAACAGTAAAACAATGCCAAAGTCTGTCACACACTTCCGGAATTCACCGGAAGTACTGTAAACCATACTTTATTTGGTGTCATCTTTTATTTTTATACAGAATGTTTAAAATTTAGATAGATTTATTTTCGTAATCATTTTTACATTTAGTAATCATTTTTACAATTTTCGTAATCTAGATTTTTTTTACTTGGCCTAGCAGCTAGACATCTAGCTAGATCTAGATTCTAGATCTAATTAATTAATAATTAATGGTACCAAATCCGCTGCAAGCAAAAAACATTAAATTAATTAATTATCAGCCTACATACATTTGACTTCATTATTTATATTTATATTAATATATGTTTTTTTTTAGATCTACTAATTTAAATCTACTATTATATTTATTCTTGTTTCCTTTTGTCGATTAAACTTAAAAAAATTAAAACATTAATTTACTACAATCGACTTTCAATTTATTTATATTTCAATGGTCAAATAAACCATGGTTTACCGTAACTCTAGTTACCGAGACTCAACAAACATTACCCGATAATTTTCGACGCTAAACTAAGGGATTACCCTAGATTCTATTTAGATCTATAGTTTGCCGTAACCATAATACGTAGCTTTAATAATAATATAAAACAAAAAAATGGTGAGTAGACAAAAAATGGAATGGGTGTTAAATTACTAAATTAGTAAATTCATCAAATTGAATGTTACCTGTCACGGGTGTGTTTCTCATTCTGCCTGTGATGTGCTTACTTTACTGAACTTTACTCAGTCACAGTAGTATTTATTTATAATTTATGAATGAATGAATTGATCTAATCTAGATCTATATCTAGATTCTATAACCAGAGGTTCACAAGAGCACCATGTGATGATCCTGACATCTGGGTGGTTGTCAATGTGTCTTCTTCTAGCTCACCATTCATTCTGGAGGGTGATCCACATAGAATCTAGATCTACATACTACTATATAGTAGTATATAGTACACAGATCTAGTACATACTAGATCTACATACTACATACAGTATAGATCTAATACTAACATATAGAACATATTAGGCCTATTACATACGCTCAAGGATTCTGTATTTTTTTTTTATACAGTATACAGTATACACAGCACACACCAGGGTGTCTGAGGGGTAGTGTAAGTGTAGACAAACTAGCACCCCAACAATGGACACCAGCGAGAAAAGTCTCAAAGGTCTTTGAGAGGTCCATAAATTAATTTAAAAATCATGCACAGCGTAGTTACAATTAATGTGGTTATAAAATCCTGCCTGTCTGGGTTTTTTCGGACTTTACTAAAGATTGGATGTATTTGATGTTTTTAATATTTTCGGTAACTAAATAAAAATTAAAAAATAAGCAAAAACAATTTGGTTTTCACGTTTAATGGCGACATAATGATAAACAATGGCATCCTGCTATTGGATAGGACGCCATAAATTTTATTGTACACATTGTAAGCTAAAAATAGAAAACTAGGTCATGGGGTTTTAAATTTGCATTGTTATTTAAAAACTTGATCTGCAAAGTTTTGTAAACAAATAGTTATCGATCACTAAGTTACTGTACAGCCAATCAATATTTGTCTTACGAAAGTGAAACATCCGGTTACAACTTAGGCTTGATGAAAATAAATAGAAATGTAGCCTTAAACTCAACAAATTATTTTCAAGTTTCTCTGGATTTGCAACTTTTATAGCATTTATTCTAAAAATATAAAATTTCTAAATTAATTTTAGGCTTAAGTTTTTATTTTTTATTTTTTTTTTACGGTCTAAATCTAAAAAGCACGTTTTTATTCCATGTCAACAACATTATGGAAGGAATCTCGTCAACTCGCTGGTGTCAATTGAAATTGAAGAAATATACCATCTATATTTTCATATTTAAAGAAAACTCAGTTCTAGAAAAAGGTCACTTGACTAAAAATACATGATTTGTAGGCTTTGATGAAGCCTTCATCAAAAGGTGCATTTTTTTAGCGTGGTGTACTAGATTTGTTGTAGATTCTATGCTTCTCATATTGATAACTGTATATGGCCAAAGCATGAACACTTGAAGAAATACATTGAACAACAATGACACTTTTAGCTGATTTTAATATCAAAATGAACCATAAGTTTCAATAAAAATATCAAGATTTAAATTGACAGTTATCATAACGGGTATCCTTGAATTTTCTCTCTGTTTTGATCCCAGAAGAAAGGAAATTCAATGACACCAGTCTATGCAATACTCAATTTACATGACTCTATAAAGCCTATATGTATCATTATTTATATATCTATAAATGAAGTGCCCTAGCTCCTACATCTACATAGTAGTATGTTTTTTCTGTGACAGAGAGTGGATAGATATTTATGATTCCTGTTGTTCTGGCACGTCAGAGAGAGGCTACTGTGACTTTGTTGCTGGCAGTAAAAAATCATCCAAATGTACAAATGAGGTCATTTTTTTTGCATTATTTCTTTATTATATTTGTTCATCAATGTTTTCATTTATGATTACCTCAATATTTCGTTATTAATTGTCCTTGAGATCATTTATCCTGAGATAATTTGTCCGTGAGATATTTTGTTGGAAATAATCTGTCCTGTCACCCTTACAACATATTTTTAAGTCCATTTCTTGTTTTTAAAACCTGTCTATATAAACTCTGCAGCTGGGCAAGATAAATTACCTGGTCTGGGATTCTGGCTTGAATGTCTACAACCTGTATGCTGACTGCGCAGGTGGCGTCAAAGATCACACTCTTCACTATGATGAGGACAGGAAAAAATATGTCACCAGTAATTTTGGCTGGCCGTTCATGTTTTTGGAAAATGAGAATTACGAGGTAAAGATTTCAGTGACACTTGATAGGAAACAGCTATAGCTTAGACGCTTAATCCTTATGGCTTAGTCACTTATCCTCTATTGTTTATTCACCTGTGGATTAGTCAATGAACCCCTATGGCTTAGTTACTTGATTAACTGGTTTTTAGTTTTTCAATTAGTCCTAAACAATTTTGAAATGCTGATAAAAACTGTTTAAGAATCACACTATAATTTTCTACTTTCAAAAGAAAATTTAAAGTTTAATTTTGCAAAAAAATAATATATATATATATATATATATATATATATATATATATATATATATATATATATATATATATATATATATATATATATATATATATATATATATATATATATATATATATATATATATATATATATATAGGCCTAAATATAAATAATTTTAAAATAAGTTACAAATTTCTACTTTGATATCCTATGAGCTTCTGCAAATATTATTTTACCTTTGTCATTGAGGATTATTAATATTAAAATATTAGTGTTGTATTATTGTAGATTACATGTAATTTACATACATCAGATGTATTCTTAAAGATTTTTTTATTCTTAAAATTTAAATAATGTTTTTAATGTTAACTAATGAACCAATGTATTTAGAGGCTAAAAGCCATCCCCTTGAACAAACTGGCATCAACACCTCCATGCACTAATGCGACCAATGTAGCCAAGTACCTAAACACAGCCACTGTGAAAAGGGCTCTTCACATTTCAAGACATGCTGAAGACTGGGATGTTTGCAGGTGGGACAACTCTTATCTTACACTCCAGTAATCTCTAACCACAGTGCTTTAAAACTGTCACAAAGTCAAGTATTACTTAACCCCAGCACTCAAGTTAAAAGTATGATATCTTCAGACTTGATGCCTTAATAATTAATTATATCATATCCTAATTAAGTTAAAATAAATGATAAAATACAAGTACCAAAGGTTAATAATAATTACAATATCTCTAGTTTTGTAGGCCTAATCTTCAGACATTTTCTACATATTTGTAGTTTCTGTTCCAGTACAAGGTGCTGTTGTATTTATAGGAGTAAAACAAATAAATTAAATACATTTGTGGTAAGGGTTAAATAATAAATAAAATACATTGAGGGTTAGAGTTAAATAATAAATAAAATACATTTGTGGTTAGGGTTAAATAATATTTAGTTAATCACCACTCACAACACATCTACTAGAAATGTTCATCATTAGTTGCTATGTAGACAAAATTATAGCCATCAATATCACCTACTCTAAATTCATCTTCAACATTCTTACAAAGAAACACTACATTTGACAAATATGATCTGACATTAAAGCAAAATACCTAGATAAATTAATTTTCATTAATATGTAAATACTTATAGTATAACGCTATATCAGTAGTTTTGATTGCTTTTCCCTAATGCAAGCCATGTTTTGTTGTTTCAGTTCTATAGTAGACTACACAAAGACATACACCACCACAAGACCACAGTATCAAAAAGCCATTAGTAGAAAGGTAGTACTGACCCCAGTATAGAAACCATTAGTAATATTGTAGTACTAACCCTTAGTATAAACAAGTTAATAAAAAGTCTAGTGACAATTTAAGCACAATTTCCTTAATTAATTTTTTTAAAAATGTGAAAAAATGATTAGGCCTATTAATTTTTTTAAAAATGTGAAAAAATGATTAGGCCTAGCGAAACAAAACCTTGTAGTTGTAACTCCCTATCATTCTCATATAAATTATAAATAAATTAATAGGGTACAAAAATAACGTTTGAATTAATAAGTAAAAGATAAATCATATATTTAGCAATGGAAATAGTTTTATTTTAACGAGTAGGCCTACACGATGCTCAGTTTAAAAAAGTAGTAAATATCCTAGGCCTATACGATGCTCAGTTTAAAAAAGTAGTAAATATCCTAGGCCTATACGATGCTCAGTTTAAAATATATTAAAAAAAATTTTGTGACCGAACGAAAGGATATTTTTGAAAACTTTCTTCGGCAATATTGTTCTAAATTATGGCAGGAATCGATTGGTAAATGTTTCAAGTCACTAAGTGGTCTGGTTGCCGAGATATGGGCAAAAAAACTGCATGTTTTCGAGGTTTTTTGGCTTTTCCGGGAAATCCAGGAAGGAATTCCGGGAATTTTTTGGGCCCACAATCATCCTCGGAACTTGCTTAACATATTAGCTTTTGGAACTAGTCCTCGATATTGCTTCATTGAGGAGGAGATACGACTTAAAGCTGCGCACATCCATCCATCCATCACCAGAAATGACGAGTTAATAATCGCAATTGTCCGTATGGAAATTGCACTTAAAAGCCATTCATATAGGAGTATAACTGACCCCAGTATCAAAAAGCCATGATTAAAAAAGGTAGAAGGCCTACCTGAATATTTTTAGCAAATTGATAGATTAATCATGGTTTAATAGATTCTACTACATGTCTAGAAATAATTAGAATACTAGAATCTCAACCTTTTTATAATCTTTTGTTTATTCTGCACTTTCATAGGCATATATTTATGGGAGAAATATGTTTATATCAACAGCTGCGTATTTTGTTGTACAATGGTGACATTGACATGGCATGCAATTTCCTGGGTGATGAGTGGTTTGTCGACTCACTACACGCCTCAGTAAGTGATGTGTTGGTTCATCTTTCTTACACGCCTCAGTAAGTGATGTGTTGTTTTATCTTTCTTACACGCCTATGTAAGTGATGTGTTGGCTTATGTTGACTTACATGCCTCAGTAAGTGATGTCTTGGTTTACATTGACTTACATGCCTCAGTAAGTGATGTGTTGGTTTATCTTGACTTACACACATCAGTAAGTGATGTGTTGGTTCATCTTTCTTACACACTTCAGTAAGTGATGTGTTGTTTTATCTTTCTTACACGCCTATGTAAGTGATGTGTTGGCTTATGTTGACTTACATGCCTCAGTAAGTGATGTGTTGTTTTATCTTTCTTACACGCCTATGTAAGTGATGTGTTGGCTTATGTTGACTTACATGCCTCAGTAAGTGATGTGTTGTTTTATCTTTCTTACACGCCTATGTAAGTGATGTGTTGGCTTATGTTGACTTACATGCCTCAGTAAGTGATGTGTTGTTTTATCTTTCTTACACGCCTATGTAAGTGATGTGTTGGCTTATGTTGACTTACATGCCTCAGTAAGTGATGTGTTGCTTTATCGTTCTTACACACCTCAGTAAGTGATGTGTTGGTTTATTTTTTTTATGTGCTCTCCACCCATCCATCCGAGTACACCAGACTAAAGGTGAATAGGTTAAAGGTTGAGGATTAAAAATGGAATCAAGAGCTGATCACATTTATTAAGATACTTCATGAAGTTAAGATAATTTTGGTAAACTGATTTGCTAGCCCTAAAAGTTGCAAGTTCAGATCCCAAGCTTGAAGCCCTAAGATATACATGAGTCTACCCAGCTCTGATGGGTACCTGACTGTAGGACATACCTGAGTCCACTCAGCTCTGTTGGGTACCTGACCCTCCTTATGGAAGTTCAAGGCAGCTGGGCATAGTGCTGACCACACTATCACTTCTTATTCTAAAATCACCAAAACTGGTAAACTCTACTTTACCTGCCACAATGTACCACCACGTTCAAAATAGTAGCTTTACTTGAAGTGTACTTAATTTCCAAAAAAAAAATTAATTTGAAAACATGAGTTAACAACTTTCTGTAAAAACAACTGCTTTATCTGTCACTTTGCACTGAACACAACATTTCAGACAATTGTTTCACTGACAACATTTCTGTCAAAGTGCATTCATTTTATTTGTTCCAATACTTGTCTTAAAACTATGATAAAAACATTTAGTGGATACTCAGGATAGATTTTTTTTAAAAATTATTTTAACAATGCTTGGCTATAGAGAAAAAACAAGTTAATAAAAAGTCTAGTGGCACTTTAAGCGCAATTTCCTTAATTAATTTTTTGTGACCGAACGAAAGGATATTTTTGAAAACTTTCTTCGGCAATATTGTTCTAAATTATGGCAGGAATCGATTGGTAAATGTTTCAAGTCGCTAAGTGGTCTGGTTGCCGAGATATGGGCCAAAAACTGCATTTTTTTTTCGAGGTTTTGTGGCTTTTCCGGGAAATCCAGGAAGGAATTCCGGGAATTTATTTGGCCCGCAATCATCCTCGGAACTTGCTTAACATATTTGCTTTTGGAACTAGTCCTCGATATTGCTTCGTTGAGGAGGAGATACGACTTAAAGCTGCGGACACACATCCATCCATCCATCCATCCATCCAGAAATAACGAATTAATAATTGCAATTGTCAGTATGGAAATTGCGCTAAAAAGTTGGAGAAAAATTGTTTTTTTTTTAATTTTCAGAATCCACAAGAAAGAAGAAAATGGTATTATAAAGCAGAAGATGGCACAAAACAGATTGGGGGGTTTGTCAAGGTGTTTGATAAGGTAGCATTCCTTACTGTAAAGGTGAGCCACTGTTTGATAGGGTAGCATTCCTCACTGTAAAGATGAGCCACTAAGGTGTTTGATAGGGTAGCATTCCTTACTGTAAAGGTGAGCCACTAAGGTGTTTGATAGGGTAGCATTCCTTACTGTAAAGGTGAGCCACTGTTTGATAGGGTAGCATTCCTTACTGTAAAGGTGAGCCACTGTTTGATAGGGTAGCATTCCTTACTGTAAAGGTGAGCCACTAAGGTGTTTGATAGGGTAGCATTCCTTACTGTAAAGGTGAGCCACTGTTTGATAGGGTAGCATTCCTTACTGTAAAGGTGAGCCACTAAGGTGTTTGATAGGGTAGCATTCCTTACTGTAAAGGTGAGCCACTAAGGTGTTTGATAGGGTAGCATTCCTTACTGTAAAGGTGAGCCACTGTTTGATAGGGTAGCATTCCTTACTGTAAAGGTGAGTCACTGTTTGATAGGGTAGCATTCCTTACTGTAAAGGTGAGCCACTAAGGTGTTTGATAGGGTAGCATTCCTTACTGTAAAAGTGAGCCACTAAGGTGTTTGATAGGGTAGCATTCCTTACTGTAAAGGTGAGCCACTGTTTGATAGGGTAGCATTCCTTACTGTAAAGTTGAGCCTCTGTTTGATAGGGTAGCATTCCTTACTGTAAAGGTGAGCCACTAAGGTGTTTGATAGGGTAGCATTCCTTACTGTAAAGGTGAGCCACTAAGGTGTTTGATAGGGTAGCATTCCTTACTGTAAAGGTGAGCCACTGTTTGATAGGGTAGCATTCCTTACTGTAAAGGTGAGCCACTGTTTGATAGGGTAGCATTCCTTACTATGAGCCACATAGATGTCTACTAACATTATAAGAGTGATTGAGTATTCTTTTAGTTGTTATTGGCGTCATAGTATAAGGACTTTGACGGCTGTATACAAATCAAAGTGTGTGTTAAATTGATTATTTTGTTGACTTAATGTTGTATGGTGTTGGCTGTTTGGTGACTACAAGATAGAAGTTGTCACGTTTTGATGATTGAGCAAAAAGGGGTTTTCAGTTGGCCTATAAATTGTACCTAAATTTTGGTCACTGTTGAAGTATTGCATCTTTGTTTTATCTTAGCTCTCTATGTAAAGTCAATAACACCTGTGTTTTTAATTAGTGTCCTTTTTTTATAACCCCTGAAAAGGACTTTGCCTTATAATAAAGTCAGCCTGTTGCACATAGATTTGTGGTCTCATTTAAATTTGTTAGTGTAATTAAATTCAGTTGATGAATTATCATTTTGGTTTGTTTAGAAGTGCTGCAGCATAGTTAAACCAACATTGTATTATAAAGATATTTTTTAAAAGTTGTAGCATAAGCAAAATGTTTAATTAGAAAAACAACACAGAAATCAAATTTACAAGAATGATTTTATTAGAACACCTTTGAACCTTTACTGGGCTTGCTACTATATTTTATAAGTGGCAACATGGATTATGTGAAGAAAAAATGTATAATCATGGGGAAAAGATCATGTGTCCTGGAGCTATGCACCATTTGTTCAGTACCCTTTCAGCCCTATAGAAAAGAATGTAAATCCTGGAGCTATGGAACATTTTTTCAGTACCCTTTCAGTCCAATATAACAGTTCAAGTGGAATTCACCTATTTCCTTAACCTCACCATATTGTCATCACCATCTATGAGCCACCAACTCTGACTAAAAATGAGTGGGCTCAGGCAATTGATTATACTTAGGAAATATTTTATGACAGTAATTAAGTAATTTTTATGTTCACAAGTTTAGCTGTTAGTAATGAAGAAATTTTTGCCTTGACAAGTTTAGCTGTTAGTAATGAAATAATTTTTATGTTGGCAAGTTTAGCTGTTAGTAATGAATAAATTGTATGTTCCAGGGTGCTGGACACATGGTACCCACAGATCGACCAAGACAGGCTTTACAGATGTTTATCAACTTCATCCAGAACACACCATATTGATGATGTTAGGGACAAATGTTTATCAACTTCATCCAGAACACACCATATTGATGATGTTGGGGATAAAAGTAGATGAGGATATTAAAAACAAAAGAGTTGAACTGTACTACCATTGTTTTAACCAATGTGATCTCTGAAATCTAATTTAGTTATAGCTTCAACTTCACCTGTTTTTGCTTTCTCTTATTTACCATACTTTCTCAGACCAATTTTTTTTCTATTATGAACATAGAGACTGCCCCTTGTTTTTCTTACCCATCCTGAACCCAGAATATTACAATTTTCAATCAGAACTTGATATGTATCATGTATTTTCAAAATGTATAATATGAAAATAAATACATTTAAATTTAAGCATTTTATCTGTAATTTTTCAAATTATTTAAGTCTTTTACATCTCTAACTAGTTACAGTAATGTTTGTATACTTGGACTGGCTGTGAAACATGATTTGTTTCTAAATTTTTTGCTCTCATCCGAAGATGCATAAAAATAAAATAACTGATTATATTTTAACTCTTAATAAACTATATTTTTGTAAAGCGTTTTTTAAAGCACAAAATATGCTTTACTGGAAAATGTCGTCCTCACATATTTGCTTGATTTTAAAAACAAAAATATCTCAAATTGCATTATAAGACAATGTTCACAAAGAAGCTCTACATTCCTGCCTTACTTTCTTTGGTTGTTCAGTGTAACTCAGTTAATTTTCAAACCTGTAGACTTTAGACTTGTAGTTGTATCATGCTGAGCTTCTGTAAATTACAGTCAACTAACGTTGGTGACATATACCAGATCACAGAATGGTGTAATGGTTTTGTAGCTCAATATAACAAAATACAGTGACTTGGAAAAAAAATCCACAAAATCTTAAGATTTTAAAACTTTATTTAAGCTTATAAGCAATTTACAGTAATTTCTTCAAAGGGAATGGCCTATACCAGGGGTCTGCAACCTGCGGCTCGTGAGCCGCATGCGGCTCTTTTGATGTCAAGATGCGGCTCTTCAGTTCCATGCACAAACATTAATAATTATATTATTTCATTTTCAAAACTCATAAAAATATTATACTGTAAAGAAAAACAACATTAAACAGGATAAAAACACTCATTAGAGAACATTGAGAGTAGGTGAGGTAGAAAGTATACGGACAGCAGCTTGAGCACCATATTTAACACTACTTATTTCAAATAAAAAATCAAATTTATTTACCTAGTCCTTGTCAAATACCAAAATATTGAGAAAAAAATAATGTTAGTGGCTCTTTAAAAACTGGAAAATTTTATAAATTGTAATTTTTGGCTCTTCCGTCTCAAAAGGTTGCCGACCCCTGGCCTATACAATATACAATTGCTACAGTATTGACATGTGTGCAGAATAAACTAATTGCTGACAGTCTTTCTTCACTAAAGCTCAAGCTTAGTAACCAACCTTTACATAGCATGGATGCACACATCAAAAACATAATATTGTACACATATGTTTTTGAAGATGTCAACTCACTCTTCTGCTTAGCTAACCTATATACATTCCAGAACTCTCCTAAAATTCTAAGAATTATATCTAAAAAAAAAAACAATGCCATTCCCTTAGTGATATTTTTAAAAAGTTATAAATAATGCGTTAACAAATATTATTAAACATGCAAATGCAATTAAATACACTAATCAATATAGATTGTTACAAAAGAGTTTTGACTTCAACTAAGCTCAACTATTACAAATGTTCATGTCTAACAAAAAGTATTATTTAAGAATAAGATTTGTCCTGCTTAGTCTGACAAAGCGCAAACAAAGTTAATTCACTTCAACATTAAAGCAGAAGAAATCCAGCTGAAACTGCTAGCCAAACAATTAAAAAAAACATTTATTTTATTTTTATGCTTTTTCAGGCTGTATGTAATTAAATTATATGTATTATTTTAAATATTTGCTACATTATTTAGAAAAAATATATTATGCATTTACAAATCACATAATTGGTATTCCATAAATGATTGCTCAATTTAAAAGGTAAATTTTAATTTACAGATATAATATATAATAAATGCTTCTTACAACAATGGAATGTAGAAAAACATGTGGAGAACAAAAAAATAAAAGAAATGAAGTTTTATTATAAAGCTATGCCACAGCTTTAGGAAAAATCATTTGTATTTAATTTGAATTTAACTTTGTTAGGTAATCTGAACAAACATCACAAAAAATGCTAATTTCTTTTAATATCTGTAAGATACTATAACAATAGAATCATCTATTCAAACAGTTCTATTTCTCTAATCTTCCTGTTACATAAGATATAAACTTTACTATGTACATAACATATTTATCAATACTAATATTTATTAATTTAAAAAATTAATTATTGGTTACATAAAGACGAAAAACTAAATAAATCTGCCAATTAAATGATAAATATTGAAATTTCATAGTCTTTATATATATATATATATATATATATATATATATATACTTTTTAGTGTGTTTACAAGTACTCAATACAGCATTTAAAACATTATCATCCATTATATAAAACACACAAAAAATTATTTTTAAATAATGGATGAGAAGATGAAAGTTTTTTGTGTGGAGCAAATATTGACGGAGTATGAAAGTGTCCATCTTGTCATGTTGGAAGTGTATTTTCCCACGTTTTCTTTAACTTGCTTTCTCTGTGTCTGTGTTTCTGTGTTTGTCTTTCCAATCAAATCTTGCGATCGAAATTTCTGGCACTTCCCAGTTAGCTGGGGCGCTGAAATTTTCAGGGAAGCTTTCTTTTGGATGACCATTGAATATTCAATTGTTATTATTACTAAATTGATCAATGGAAACATTTTATTGAGCATTTTAGACCGCTATATAATCTATATATATAATTCTCCTCTGCGAGCCATTAGAAAAAAAACAAGCGACGCGTACCTCGCGCGCAGTGAAGCGAACGATCCCACATCGCCACAGGCTTAGGGGCAGATAATTTAGTTTGAACCAAGTTTAAACTTACAGGAGGTAGGCCAGTTTGGGGGAGACGATATGGTCGAGTGGTTGGGCACACGATTGCTATCCCACTCGACACGGGTTCAAATCTATGTGTTAACACAACGTTTTTACGAGTTGTCTTTTTACGAGTTGTCTTTTTACGAGTTGTCTTTTTACGAGTTGTCTTTTTACGAGTTGTCTTTTTACGAGTTGTCTTTTTACGAGTTGTCTTTTTACGAGTTGTCTTTTTACGAGTTGTCTTTTTACGAGTTGTCTTTTTACGAGTTGTCTTTTTACGAGTTGTCTTTTTACGAGTTGTCTTTTTACGAGTTGTCTTTTTACGAGTTGTCTTTTTACGAGTTGTCTTTTTACGAGTTGTCTTTTTACGAGTTGTCTTTTTACGAGTTGTCTTCGTTTACCCAAAAAAAGTGAAAAGATAAAATCGATAGCAAGATTTTAATGCAAACAAACAAAGACTAAAAAGTAGAAAATAATAATCATTAAAAAAGTTTTAAAAAACCCACGTTTTCTGATTGAACTAAAAAGTAGAAAATAAACGCTATACATCACAATAATGCAAGCGATCACTCTACTATAAGCGATCAAAAACGTGGGGCGCCGTGATTTTCTTACAGTTTCTAATACTGTTGACTCTCTACAAGCTCCCTAATAAAAGTCAATAGTATTATCTAATCAATAGTAATATAACTTTTACTTCGGCGCCCCACGTTTTTGATCGCTTATAGTAGAGTGATCGCTTGCATTATTGTGATGTATAGCGTTTATTTTCTACTTTTTAGTTCAATCAGAAAACGTGGGTTTTTTAAAACTTTTTTAATGATTATTATTCATGCCTATAGATTCAAGAAGTGAATGAGTAATCAGAAAAGTTTCAGACCAGTTTGGGAAGTCAAACTTAAAGGTTGAGTGAATTTTGAAGTAAGGCTGGAGCTGTCAATAAATCCGAAGCTCCACGGATCATTTTGATCCTTTTGTTTTGAACATTGTGACCTATGAAGTAGCTGCGCACGGATTGAATTGTAAAGTTAAGCTTTTTCATTAAATGATGGTGTTTTACACTGGAAAAACTATAAACTCACACTGGTTTTATCTGCCAGACCTATCACAGCAGCTGGGTAACAATCACTCATATCATTCCATAAAAAATATAGCTGACATAAAGATTGTAAATTACTAAACTTACTATAGGAATAGGAATCAACTAATGTTTTTTTATTTATTCATGTAAATGAATGAATATTGATTATTAAGAATAGGAAATAACACTTTTTTTTTAAATCATAGGTTTTAATAACAAGCTTTTATGCAATAATGCACTAATAAGGAGAAAATAAATTATTTTCTTTTAACATATAATTTAAATATCTAAAAATAAAAGCTTGGATCACTATTTTATGTATTGAATACTTTTACTAGAATTTAGAAAGCCACGCACTTTTAGTTCCCATTAAGTACATATTTAAAGAAAATCATTTATTTTCTTTTTTTAGTGCATTATTACATAAAAAACATTTTTTTGTGAATTTTTTGTTCAATACTTTAAAAATTTTAATATAATGTGATTGAATGAATAAAAATAATGTACATATTATAGCATAGTAAATAGTACTTAATAATATAGGAAAAATTTTAATTAATTCTTTAAAAATTAATTAAGCATCCAATTAAGTTAAATTTGATGACAACTTGCATTGTTTTAAGCTTTTAACCAACGTGCGATGTTTAAGAGAAATTGGTTGGAAGTTGACATTTTTCTTGGCAATTTTGATCCATGAATACAGATAGAGGAAGCAAGTTAAATAAAATAAAAAATAACTTAAAATAAAAGCTTGGGTCACTATTTTATGTATTGAATACTTTTACTAGAATTTAGTAAGCCACACACACTTTTAGTTTTAGTTCTCATAAAGTACATATTTAAAGAACATTTTTTTTTTCTTTTTTTAGTGCATTATAACATTAAAAACATTTTTTTTTAATTTTTTTTTTCAATACTTTAAAAATTTTAATATAATGTGATTGAATGAATAAAAATAATGTACATATTATAGCATAGTAAATAGTACTTAAGAATATAGGAAATTTTAATTAAATCTTTAAAAATTAATTAAGCATCCAATTAAGTTAAATTTGATGACTACTTGCATTGTTTTAAGCTTTTAACCAACATGCGATGTTTAAGAGAAATTGGTTGGAAGTTGACATTTTTCTTGGCAATTTTGATCCATGAATACAGATAGAGGAAGCAAGTTAAATAAAAGCTTGTAATAAAAGTTATTACAATAGAGGCCTATATCCTTTAAATTTGTAACATATCACTGAAAATAATATACTGTATTGACAAAGAGTAATCCATTTCTTGCATGGAAATATTTATGATGACAACATTGACAATGATAACTAGCTTTCTAAACATTGAAAGGAGCCTTATTATTCATTAATATTTAAGCAATATCTAAATTACTAGATAATTTCATTGCACATCTCTCCCCTAAACCTTGATATAGGCCTACAACTTTAGGGGTTGGGGCAGCACATCTGGTGGAACCAGGGTAATACAGATGGTAGATAAGTTTGTGACAAAATTGCTTTTTTTAGAGGCACAAAGTTCTTTGAATACGATTTATTAAAATATGATATAGAGTTGTTCAATTTTGCATCTGGTTTGAAACCAGAAATAATGTACAACTTCTGTATACTAGAAATTTATCGAATCCCGAAAGAAACTTACGCATAAGATGCAACACTTCTATATGAAATTTTGTCTATCTTACTGAAATGATACTCAAGTTGTCATGTTCACATCCGCCACCAAGATTGCAAAACTGGGTTTTTCCAAATCATGTAGGTGTAAAGTATTTTTTTTCCCACAATTACAACCCTTCACCCTATACTCCCTATATGAGATATTACCATCCATTTTTCAGTGTGTCTACATTTAAACATCCCACTTTATCTTCTACTAGAATGCAGCCTGCACATATACAATTATACAATATAGCTAGATGGTGCATCTTTAATTTGCATGCATAGTGCTAGTTTAAAAGGTCCAAAAATCACACATAAAACTATATGTCTTGATCATCGTTTGTGGATGTTGTTCCAGGGTAAGGTTTCCCAGATTGACGCTGCCAGATACAATACAAAAAACAGATTATATGACTGTCATTTTAAAGTAATTTACAAAATATCTTGGATATCCTTTTTATTACACATTTAAAAATGGAAAGCACTTTTCTAGGCAAAGTATATAATAGGAATTAGAGAAGTTTAAAAAGTGTATGTGAAAAGATGAATAAAGAGTAAAAATGAATTATATGTAACTATTTGTAAACATTTTTCAAAATCAAAATATCTGAAAAGGAAAAAACATGAATAACAAACAACAAAAGAAAGGTAATGCTAAATAAAAGATATAGCAATAATTTCCAAAATGGGCGGTAGAAGCAAAATATAAATTGTAAAACTGATATAATAGAATTAGATATATATTTAAACAGCAAATTGTAAAACCCAGCTTTCTTTGCAATATTTCTAAGAATGACCCTCCTCTTACTTAATTCACAGCTACTACCAGGTGATTTCTTAAATAAGATATCTATGAAAATCACATAATCTTAGAAACAATTAGAAGCCTAGCATTTGTTTAAGGAAAAGCATACTTAAGCTCAGTATTTAACAGCTTTGTTGGTCCCCTTTTAAGCTTTCCACACAATGCTAAACAGGGAAACATGTAAAGTGTATTCCCTTATTCACAATATAACATACAGTGTTATAAAAATGAGCTCTCCTATCTATTTGTTTACTTGTAATTATAAAAATGGAAATTAAATCCAAAGGAAAATCAAGCTAACAATGTTGTTGTGAATACATTTGTGAGAGTAGATAGGAAAGCTATGATGCCATATGTCAAGGAAAAGCCAACTATTTTTTAATATGATCTGTTGCCAAGCAGTTAGAGATGGCTGCTGTGGAAATTAAAGGCTATGAAATTATGTATATCATGGTTCCGTCTCTTAAGTGTTCACTGTGTCTTCCCTGATGCATAGTTGATGTGTACATGTAGTCAGTTAAGGAAACATAGAGTCAGAGACATGATGTGTCGTCTTAGCTGTCTGTATATAAAAATAAAGTACTAGAGTTAACTCAAAGATCTGTCTGTTTAACTAATGTACCAGTATAAACAGTATATACAAGACAAATGTCATAAAATAGATTTATAATATCAATATTATTACAATAAATTAAGGTTCTGATGCTCATTTAGTTCTAGGTCTACACAAAGCGACTAAGTGTAAGTAATAGGTGCTGGTCTAGCATGAAGTTTAAAATATAGGGTGTAATTTCAGTTTAGAAAATTTATATTGGTCTGTATTATCTAGGTTTAGCATCTAAATGTAGAAAATACATCTTGGTTGTAGATGTTGGTTTTGCCTTAGTAGGATCAGGTTCATTTTTGACACACTGGTGCTTTGTAACACTCTTTGTGTGAACTTTCTGGCTAAATTAAACTCTAAAATGTTTTCAATTTTTACAAGCTTTTATGTAACAATGCACTAAAAGTAGAAAATAAATTTCTTTAAATATATAATAATGCACTACTATTTATATAAATAATAAGAAAAGAGTGGGTCACTATAGTATATATTGGATACTTTTAATAATAATTTGGAAGCGACCCAAGCTTTTCTTTATTGTTATTTAAATAACAGCGTATTATTATATATTTAAAGAAACGTATATTAAAATTTTCTTCTTTTTAGGGCATTATTACATAAAATAAAAGCTTGTAATAAAAACATTTTTTATGAAAAATTTTTTTCAAATATTTATATTGACAATATCGGCGACCTCATTTCTGCCATTTTTAGGTCTCATTATTTAAATATTTTGCTCTGCGTTCAGCACCGTTACTTTTTAGTTTATTATTAATAGACTTCTAAATTTTTCTATTTAGAATTTATTTAATATTCTGAAATAATAACATGTATGGGGATATAATAAATTAGATATTTTCATAATTTAAAATGCTGCTATTACTATAGTTCAGGTTTTACTTTTTAATTTTTTTAAAGACCTTCAAAGCTGCTTTTTTTTATTATATATCACTACTTAAGACCTCATTACTTAATTTAAGAGTGGTTGAGGTTGTTGTGAGGATTGGTTTATGTTTATGTTCATATTTTAGGTTGTGGTGAGGGTTAGGGTTTTGTGTTTATTTTGTGATTTGGTTTGTGCTTGCATTTGTGTTTGCATTATGTTTGTAGTTGTGACCGTGTTTGTGTTTGCATTAGCATTTGGATACAGACATTTAAATGGAAAAATAATATATTTCCTAAACCAGGGCAATGGCGGGTATTTACTGCTTAATACAAGTCACAGTCCTTTACAGATAGGTTTTTCACAGAGGCCAGTGCAGGGCACAGCCCGGGATGGCTAGTATATATATAAAATATACATATATATATATACACACACATTCATATATATACACACTCATATATATATATATATATATATATATATATATATATATATATATATATATATATATATATATATATATATATATATATATTTATTTATTTATTTATTTATTTATTTATTTATTTATTTATGTACACATATATTTATAATTGTTTGCTATTCGTACGACAATCATTTCAATTTACCTAACCAACAGAAAATCATGGTACCATTTTGAAATTATTATGAATGATGAAATCTATGGGCTGACAAAAGAAATTGTGGAATCAATCATAAAAAGAAAAGCATTAATCAAGTAAATTTTATGTTTTGTCACTGATTGATGTAGTGTTTGGCTCTCTTTCTAAAATTGTGAAACAAATATCAGTTTGTAGTCAAAGTTAGCTAAAGCTTATCTGGAAAAAATTACCATGATACTAACTAACCAACCAGGTAGATATAGCATTAGACTAGCTTTAGACATAGTTTTTAAAATACCAGTACCTCCATTTTCAATTATCTTTTTTTTCTTCAGAACTATTTAACATTGTTAAGCTTCTACTAAATTTATACACACACATTTTTCTATCTTAAATTGATTTTTGCATCTTTGCTTTCAGAAGACAGAAAAGTACACAGATCGAAGATCTTAAAAAGTAGTTCAGTTTCATAGAGATGGAGTTTGTCATTATTATGAAGAAATGATATGATACAGATTAGCGTTAACTTTTTGGTTAACTATTATTAAAACTGAAATAATTGTGGGCTAAGATTGGTCAACTCTATCAGTTTTATAAGATAAAAACACCATGCTTTGAATAAGCAGTAGGCTAAGCCTACATGCATTGGCAGGGCCTCACACTTCAAGCTAGATGTTCTTCATGGCTTTTCTGACATATTCTGGCTTTTTTGTCTATATCCTGGAAAAAATGCACTAGAGCCAAAAGTATGTTATTTACAACATTAAGCTTGACAATTATGTCAGAAGAATTAATCATTTTGTGACCAGCAGGGTTATACAATGACATATAGATGTACACAAACCAACAGATTAGTGCTAAACATATTACCTCCATACCCTTTAGTACTTTTTTGCTTCACCGGTGGTACTATTTGGACCCCTAAGCAGGTAATTAGTGCTGTTTTTAAAAATGTCTTAATTACTGTGCTCTTAATAATTACCGATAAATACCATACTATTTTGGTCTAGTTTACATTATAAAATTTTTTTTGACTTGAAGTTTTATTTTAATTTAATTTATTTTCTTAGGAGTTTTAATTTCTACCCACTTACTATATCTCTGTATAATTTTATTCAGGTGCTATGTTCATATATTTATAAACATATATATAAATAAATAAATAGATGGATAGATCGATACAAAAATCTTCTCTTCTCGTATACGGTCATTACTGGCTCAAGCTATTGCTCATAAGCCAGGCCAACTAGAAACAGGGTTAAGATTGAGCATTTATCTCACCCATGTTCCCAGCCGATAGACATGTGGGTTTCCGCGAAAAATTTTCTTCCTCCCCCAATGCATTACACCAACTGGTTTGGACATTAGAGCAGTTCTGTCTAAGGACAACCTACGACTGCAAGCACAAGATCCGAACTCATGACTTTTGGGTTAGCGGGCACGTAATCTACTGCTAGACCATGCCATCCCCTGGATGAGATGGATTGATGGGATGGGATGGATGGATGGATAGATAACCAGATTGATGACATTGTATCTTTGGACCTCCAAAAATATTTGTAAATATTACTTACTGGGAGTAGGCCTGTTCGGCAATCAGTTTCTATTTTGAGAGAGAGAAAAAAATTGGTTAGTAGTATGTTTAATCACACAACAGATTACCTGTCAAAAGTTTAAATTTACCTAAAGCATTAAATAATAACTATTTATACATTACTGACACAATTTTGCTTAAAGCAAATGTTTTCAGTTTTAATGGGTTTTTTTTTAAATTATATTTTATGTTAATTTTATGCAGATTTGTATTTACAGGCTTTAATATTCATTTTGACACTGAAAAACTTCCTAAAGTAGACATAATACTTACCAGATATTGTAGACTCTTTATATGAGCTCCTGTAAATAGATAAGTAGAAATTAACTCGTTTATGTCCATAAAAGCAAAAGAAATGTATAATTACTCCTAAGTATCTATTTAAGACAATCCAATTTCTCTCAAGTTATGGTATCCACAACTAGCACTATAGGTTCAACAAGAAATAAAAATTGTCTATACTAATTTAATAAAACATTATTTTATCTAGAATAGTATGTTTTGTTAAAATGAAAAGCTAAAATATAATATTTTCTTTAATAATATCAGGATTTATACTTGTTTATTAAGCACTTCAATTGTTTTATCATTAATTATAAGTTATTATATTAAAAAATATTTAAGAATGCATTTAAATTTCTAATCTTAAGTTGTCTTCATTTTTAGTATAAATTTTGTATGTGTACCATTTGGAAAACCTGTAATGATGTTTATCAACTTACAATTTTATGTGTATTAAATACATTAAAAAAAAAGAACAAAGGGATAACTTACATAGGTCTAATTGCCTTTGAACCAGAAGTACTCTCATCCTCTAAAAGTTAAAAGTAATGAACAATTATAATTAATCAGCAAGATAGTTTAAATTTCATGTGTTAAATTAAATGTCAACAGAACATAAATATATTGCTCACATGAGACATAAATGAAATATGTTTGGAACAATCTCAAGGATTTAATTGAATATCATCTTTAAATTAGAAAGACAAAACTGATTAATCCCTCAATTTATTATTAGTAAATGAAAATATACTCCACACCTAATGTATAGTTAGAAATGATAACAAGGAGTTTGCAACCTTACAAAGTCTAATGCAACAGAAGTTGAAATTAGTATACTGTAATAAATGATTGCTCATATCATTGTAGGTGTTTACAGATCAAACATGACAGCACTCTCTTAACTCAATCTGTCCCATGAGCAGCAAGATGCGGTTTGGGCCAGCTTCACCGTAGGCTGCCAGTGAGCCGCAAGGTACGGCTTGACACCGCTAGTGTTTGTTTCTTTAACAAGTCATTTAACATGTAATCAACTTACATTCTTAAATATAACTCACAATTATCTTCATTTACTACTATAGAAATTTCATTTCTGTTCATTTTGATGTATAATACATAAATCTGGTTAGAAAAAACATAGGAGCTATAATTGTCTAAGTAAGTGAGGGCTGTATAAAAAATTGGGTCACGGAAATAATAAGGTGGAAACGACTCTGGAATATAAAGAGTTAAGTATAAGTAACCTTGCATGTTATGAGTTACTTTTTGTTTTCTGATAGAAACTTTTTTTATGAACCTATTCAGAGCATTTTATTTTGTAACTTTGACAACTGTACTAATATTATTAATGACAAAATTTCATTTACTTGCAAATAATTAAACACTTTATTACACATTTGTATATAAAGAGGGCTTTAAATTTAATAATTTTAAAATAGGTTTAAATATTTCCAAACTTACCTTCGGCTATTTCAATTGTTGTGCTGTCAAAAATAGATACAGATACATTGTTGTGCTATAGATATAGCAAGAGTAATCACTTGCACTATTATTCATGTGATTAATATCATGTAAAAAATTAATCTAAGATAATTTAGAAAATTAAACTTTTCTCTCTTAAGTGTTATGTTTCTTTTTAAATTTTATACTAATTATTTAATACAAGAATTCAAAACATTTTAAAAATTACTCACTTGCGTGTTGCTTTTTTAGATTCATATTCTGCAATTAAAAAAAAATATTTTTACACATTTGAGAATATTGTCGAATTAAGACACTGGGTAGTCATGGTTTTTGACTTAAGCAAAATAAAACAAGTGTTAGCTGGCGATACATTTATTCCAAATATAAAAAGTGGGTCACTGACTCTTAAGGGTTTTTATTACACTGTTGCACAATCAATGTAAAAACAAGTCGCATGAGAATGTAAAGATTTTGAGCCTTCTATTTTCTTAACTTTGACTGTGCATAATTCAGCAGCTTCCAATGTCTTTTTTGAAAACTCTTTTGTCCATTAGAAGGATAGCATGGATACCCCTCTGCCTGCACCTAACTAAAATGTCATCATTTCATGTGGTTTTTTTAAATTACTTTCCATTATTTAAATTTAATATAGATATCCAGGCCAATTATGATTTTCACAAACTCTTACACCATGTATATATAGTTAACAGAATATAAATGCCTAACATTTAGGATTTCTTGTATTGTTATGCTTTTGACCTTATTACTTATTGTCCAAAGATGCAAACAATTCAAACAAAATGGCAGATTATCGGCTGTTAAGAAGAGGCATTTGTGTTAGATAAGTTTAAATATGTATTCAGTTAAGATTATTTTTAGAAGTTGCAGTACAAATATATCATGTAGATGTATCTGACTAATCCAATTTTTTTTTTAGAAATCTTACCTTGAAACTTTTGATGCTGATCAATGTTTGCTCTGTAAATAACAAATAAAATATTAAAATTTAATTTACTTTTTAAATTGAAGTTATTTTAAAAGTTTTAGTCTAAGATATTTTAAAAGACATACTGGAAAAACAAAATACTTACTGGTTAGCTGCACCTATTATAAAATAAAAGTAAAGTTAATTATTTTGCTGCTTTTTTGTTAAAGAAATAAATCTAAATTATGAAACCAAAACTATCTGAACCACATTTAGGACAAAAAATACGAAAATGTGTGCTTTTAGGTATAAACTATATAAAAAAAAAACACCAATAATTTACTTTTTAAAATTATGAAACAAAAAGTAATTGTTAAATCAAGACAAAATTATATTAATGGTACATTATTGAAAAGTTATAACAATATTCTAAAAAGCAACTTACTAAGTTGTCTTAACAAATCTCTTTCTCTGTAATGAGAAATTTATTTCCAAAAGTTACAATGAGCCATTGAATCAAAATAGACTACAGTAAGTTGTTTTAAGAAAGGTTTTCTTAACAAAAAAATAAAGCTGTAGCAAGCCGAACTGCTATGCTGCAGTCCAGATGCTTAGTGGCTAATGTAAATAGAAAGGATATACATCAAACTGGTGAGTAGATAAATAGCTTAACACTTAAAAAAGAAATCAATTATATTTGTGTATAATGTACTATTCTTCTTGTTAGTGTTGTTAACAAATGACGTGACTAATTCTCTGTAGTTAAAAGTTACATTTCTCTCAACTTTAAAGGTGAGATCAGACACTTTTAGTAGTACCTCCTCCTCCCCCCCCCCCCCCCCCCGAAGAGATGCCTGGAAGAAACTGAGTGGAAGGCGATACTGTTTGGCTGAAATTTTAAGAGCTTAAGAAAATGGTAACCGGCTTTACATAATTTTTCTTAAAATCAATTTTACAATGTAAGATTAGAGAGCATAAAAAACTGACAATAGGATAAGTGAAGTAGCAAAGTTGGGTGTCACCCGGTGCGGCACTTAAAGGTGTCACCCCCACCCCACCCCCGTAATTTTTTTAATATATATTTATATTTTATATATATTTACACTTATACTTATATATACATATATATATGCATGTACTAGACATACTGCCTAGCTTTGCAAATGGGATGTTTGAAATGCTGCTTTGATAAATGCAAGGGGAAGCTATGTGTTTTGACTGTTAGAAATTAAAATGTATCCAATATTATTGCTGTGATTTTTATGTTGTGTATTCACGCACTTTAAAGTATAAGTGCTATATCAAACAGCTGATCTTTGATTACTGAAATGAACTGTATTCTTCGTGGATTTGACTAATGTAAAAAAATGTGTGAAATGAATCAGCAGCTTATAATCTATCTTTGGGTTTGTACTCATTTCTATAATATAAGCGGGGAAGGTGAGTGCCCTTGGTGCTACTTTATGCCCTATCTTCCATCCTTCTGTCAACTGTATAGTCACTTTCTCTTTATTTTTACTTTCTCTGATACTGAGTATAGATGAAGTATTGTATCGTGCAAAAAAAAATTGAGATTTTAAGAAGTCTCGAGTTTTACACCTCATTGAGTCGGAAAAACATAGTTTTGCAATTTTGTCCGTATGTCTGTGTGTGTGTGCCTTTGAACACGATAACTTGGGTACCTTTACAGCTAGATTGATAAAATTTCATATATAAGTATTATATCAAATTTGTAGTTCTGTATCAACTTTTCAACGATTTCCAATATCTGGAAATGGAACTTATTCTACTTTCAATTTTTAAAAAGCCCATAACTTGTGTCCTGTCTAAGAAAGATAAATGAAATTTCACATGTTAGTAAAAGATCTAATTCTCTGCCTTCTGTAAAATTTTGAGTAACTTCCATTGACCGAAAGTAGTAATTTATGCTATTTCTGATGTCTCAAAATATGCATGCGAATTTATAAAGTACTAATAATTTTCTCCACTATTATACACATTTTATTTGGCATTCACTTAGTGCGCAATTCTTTTTTCTAAGAAAGTTTAAGTAATTAAAAATCATGTCTAAGAAGGTTAACCGCCCCCTGAACGAAATGGAATTTATATAGAGAATATATACTTTTAACAGTGTCCCCTGTCCCCTTCCCCCCTCCCCCCCCCCCCCCCCAGAAAAAAGTCTGCAAGAAACACTTCTAATGCAGCAATTTTGTTCAAACTTTCCAGATACATTCCACTTTGATGTCAATACAGGTATATCTTTTATATTTTATTTAATTAGATATTTTATTAGTCATTAAAAATTTATAAAAGATTTCAAAACTAAGGGGAGATAACAACTTTAAACCACTCAATAGATTACTATATTCAATAACAGAAGGGGAGATAACTTATATCAACTAGCTAGACGTGATCACCCTACCAGTCTAGTGAGCTGTGGTTCACTAGAAAGTTTACAATCGTTGAGCCGGTTGATCTAACCAAGGCTAAGGTGCAGATAATAAAGTTTTTAAAATATTTTAAACTAAACAGGAGGTACATGATTTAGAACTTGTTGTCATCTTTAAAATATATAGGGCAGACAATCGTCTTTTAGATATTGCAAGCTACTGATGCTGTTTTAAGGCAAATATCTGTAGTCGTATTGATGTCATAAATTAGAAATCACTAAAAAGTAGAAAATAAAACAAATGTAAAAAAAAAACTTTAGTAACAACAAACTTTTGAATGCTCTGAAAATAAGAAAATAAAATCAATCTGCTTTCTTTCATAAAAGGTTTGGTCGCTCATGAGATCATTTACATATTTTAGCAACAAAAAATGTATGAAAGAAAACAATAATTAGTGCATTTAAACTTGTAACCATGAAGGTTTTTTATATTTGTTTTATCAATAGCATTTTTTTCCTCATAAACAAGTTATTTTTTACATTTTACAATTTCAATAAACCAATGTGATTATTTTTTCAACTTTAATTAAACTATTATGATCTATTTTCACTATTTGCAATTTAATAACTTCTAATCTTTTTCAGGATGGATATATTTTAGAAAATGTAACAGTTAAAAGCTTAACTGCAACTTTAACTTTTTAGTTCATGTGATGAACTTAGATAGGGTGTTTTGGAAATTTCGCTTCAAAAAACTAAACATCTGAGCCAAAATAATCATAATAAATTGAAAAATATCAAAATAATGTGTCTTGCAATCAAGTTGAGTTTCCATAAGATAAGTTACAGTTGTTTAAGCTTAGATTATGGATTCATTATAAATTGAAACTCTTGGAATGTAAAAATATTTTTTCAAAATGTAAGATTGGCACTACATACTGTAGGCCTATGGCATATAAACAAACCCTTCAAATACAATGATGTCAATGTTATTAAGTATAATTAAGGATCATTTACTTGTTAAACATGTAAGGTCAGGGCAGAAAGAAAGAAGAAATAAGAAACATAATCAGCCTTACTCCTGTTTTATTTTCCCGTCAACTGGCTGAATATCTAGTTTAGTATTTGTAATGATATTTAGTTACAGTTAAAATGTGTTATTGATTTTCTGTTACTTACCTTTTTTTGTCTGAATAAGAAAAAAAAACACAGTATTAGTTTCTGGAGAATACATATACACTGTAAAAAAAGTAACACTTTTAAATAAAGCTGGAATTTTGGTTTGAAATTAGTTTCATAATTTTTATTATTTTTTTTTGTTTTAAAAACTAGCTGTAGACTAATACATGTCAATACCACAGCAAATTTAAAAAGAAAGAAATTTTGTTAACTGTCAACTACATTTGGAAAATGCATTCTAATTTTCCCAAGAATTTTAAATTAGACACTCTTTAAAAAAAACTTGATTTAAAGACATTCTTTCACTAGTCCTCTCTTATTTCTGATATCACCCATACGAAACATTGCATTTGATGCTAATTCTGTTAGTTTAGCAGAATAGCAAAATAACAGATTTAACCTAATTGCATTATGCAACAAGTAAAAGACGTACTACTTTGAAACTACCAGAACCAGATCAATTGCACAAATAAAAGTATTATTTCAAAAGTTGTAGCAACATAATTTGATATAATATTAACTGTCTCCAAACAACATTAGATGAAGACATGCAAATACATTTCTAATTGTTTGCATTAATATAATAAAAATTGTTATATTTCTTTTTAAACGCTCGTCATCAAACTATAGTGTAGACCATTCCTGAGGTTTAACCAAAGTGTTTTTAATCAAATTATCTAGCTTTATTTATTTTTTTCCCATAAATTATGTGGTGTTTAAGCAACTAGCATAAAAAATGGTATACCTAGTATTTTTTAATGTTGATGTATCACAAAATAAAAACTGCCAGTTTGGTTAATAAATTTACATTAATGTTTAAAACTTTTTAACATAAAAATGTACACTGATAAATACATAAATTATAAAACTTTAAAAAAATTTAGACTAAAAATGTTTTTGAATTTCAGTATTTTTTATAAAACTGCATGTAGGCTAGTTAAACATTTTTTTGTCAAAATTCAATCAATTTTGTAAGAAGTAAATAAGGATATTTACTGAAATTTTATTTTAATTTAAAAACGTTTAAAGCTAGAAATCGTACAGAATAGATTTTATCATGAAAAGATACTTACAGACAATTACTATTATTACTAGTATTGAAACTATAATGGCACAAGCAGCAACAACACCACCAATTAGACCTGTTAAAAAAAGATACATTTTCTAAATAAATTAAATACAATGATGGTCATGACATCAATACAAATATGTGAGACAGAATACATAGTATGTGTGGAGAGAGTACGTTGAATATGGAATTGCTTTGTTGTGGTAGACTAATAGTGTAGTGCAAGAATGATGTTCTAAAATGCAGAAGACACAGTTGTGGTTAAACCACAAGTACCCCCTTAAAAATAGTTGATTGTAAATTTTACTCACTTGATTGATTTGATGAGGTGGGGCAAACATTTTTGGCTGCATAAAGAAGGCCACATTTAGTTATATTTTATATGCAAATTATTAACATGCTATAAAACATGGTTTATAAATTCAATTAGTTATATGTACTAAGCTTTGCTCCAGTGATAAAAAAAAGTAAATGAGTATAAACATGCAATCATTTTAGAAAAATAATAATTTAAAAGCATATAATGACCCCTAAAAAATGACATTTGAAAAGAGCATTACTAAAACTATATTCTGATCCTAAATATTAGCAAACACAACTCCTTAGCAAAATTTCATTAAATATCCTCAAACCAATATTGAAAATATTTTCTTTACAGTAACCCAAATTAATTTCTTAAACTTAAACAAAACAAATTCTTGAAATAAAATTTCTTTAAATTAGTACAACTCTGAACAATACTGGGTCCACCTTTTTATGATGACGTGCTCTTCAGTTCTTCTTCTTAATCCTCGTCACTCCCTGTGGAGTATAGGGCAGCAACAAATCTCCGCCATTCCACCCTGTCCTGGGCGAGCCACTTTAATTCATGCCAGGTCTTGCCAGTAGCCTGCACTTCTTCTTCCTCTCTCCCCATGTTCCTAGTGGTCTTCCTATCTTTTGCTTTCCAGGCGGAGTCCACTTCAGCGCTCTTCAGTTAGGCACTTTTTATTTTGGTCCTGTATATTAGTGGTTCACCCTTGCTTTGAGGTTGTCAGGTCGTATACTACTTGGAATGTTTTCTACTTAGGTCGAGTCATTTTTATTTTGACATTGTATAATTCCTTATATGGAATGATGGTGTAACACCTGGGGTTTTTCCACTGACTTATTAAGGTGTTTGAGACATAGAAATTTTCCATTAAAATCTGATTGAATGATTCTGATCAGATGATTATCCCAACCAATGGCGACATGAGTTGAGGATAACCTCCCCTGTCACAGAAGTCTATAATTGCACTGCACACTCGCAACACGAGGCAGTTTATCTTGACCTGGCAGTCTACGAGGCAGTTTTACCTTAGTCAGGCAGCCGTCCATATTGTCCGGCTATAGACTCTGACCATTTGAACGTGAGAGTACTTAAGACCTGTGTGTGCCTTGCTTTCTTAAAGTGATTTAGTCTTCTAGTTTAATATTACTTGTCGCTCAGTAATTCTAGAAACTACAGCAGTGTTGTGTGGCCTGTAGCTGTTCTTTAGACAGTGTAGAAATCTGTGATAGTGTTTTTTCCTACATTGTGTAAGTTGGTTTTTGATATTTTATACATTAAATATTTTATTTAGTTCAACCTTGTGTTCTGCCACTTCTGAGTTCGCTGATTAAAAGGTCGTATGTAGATTGGATGAGTGTTAATTACAATAGTATCACTAGCTTCCCTAGACATTAAATTCGAGCCCTAGTGGTCATTGTGTTAAGTGTTCATCCACTTAGGCCGTAAGGCATTTGCATATGACCCCGAAAAAAGAATCCGGGGACGTTCTCCTTCTATTTGGCTGATAGATAGGTTAACGTTACAAAGTGGGGGCTCGTCCGGGATTTAATCTGTCGTTCCAGTTGTTGGTTATATCAGTTGAATACTAAGGTTAGTTGGATTTAGTTGTTTTTATATCCAGTAGCGCAGTGTCCTTACAACGCGCGCAAGCATAGAGTTATCTAGGTCAATAGCCAGACGTGTTGTCCTAGATTGAAGAGGTCAAGTACACGGCCCAACGCTGTGTGTTAAGTTAGTGAACCTAGGCTTGTTGTGATTTGAAAGTTAGTGTTATGGAGTCTTTTTTGGCCAATCCTACTTTTGAAGAGGTCGAAAAGTTGAGTAGAAAAGTTTTGGTTAGTGTAGTTAAGGAATTGAAATTGGATTATTCTGTTACGCAGAAGTCAGAGGTGTTGAGAGATAAAATTGTTGTTCATTTCATTAATGAAGGGGTATTTGATGAAAGTTTGTTAGCTGGTGTGTTACTCCGCGAGGAGAAAGTTGCTTTAGAGAAGGCATTAAAAGAACAGGAGTTGGAAGTTAAAATTGCTTTAGATAGGAGGAGGTTGGAATCAGAATTTGGTCAAGTTAGTGATGTTACTTCTCTGGTAGATCCAAAAAAGTTGTCGGTAGGGCAAGTGATTGCCAAATTTGGGAAATTAGTTCCTAAATTTGATGAAACAGATTTGGTCGTTTTCTTTAACTCATTTGAGAGTTTAGCGAAGACATGTGAATGGCCCGAATCTTCCATTACTGCTTTATTGAGCTCTGTCCTTACTGGGAAAGCTGCAAAAACATACCAGGCACTCTCTCACGACGTTCAAAATAACTATAGTTTGGTCAAGACTGCCATTTTAAAGGCCTACGCACTGACGCCCGAGGCCTATCGGACAAAATTCCGAACACTCCGCAAGTTACCCACACAATCATATGTGGAATTTCTCTTTGAAAAGGAGAAAATATTTTCAAGGTGGCTACACTCGGAGGAAGTTTCTGAGTTTGAGAAACTCAGGTCACTTATCCTAAGGGAAGAATTCCTATCGTCCCTGCCTGAAGAGATACGACTACACATACTGGATAACAAGATAACCGATATCCAGAAGGCTGCTGAGTCGGCTGACACATATATGTTGGTGCATAAGAAACCACCAGTGTCAGGAAACCGCCTCAACCCCGTTCTTCCCCTTTTTGGCAGCAATCATTCTGTTGGCCAACGTTTGAAGGCATCACAGTCCAGAGAGAAACCAAGATCAACTCTCCATCGTCGAGCAGTATGCCAGTTCTGCAAAAGACCTGGTCATCTTGTCAAAGACTGTTACAAACGTCGTCAATATAACAGAGAGGTGGTGCGTACTTCCGCGCACTATGCTCTATCCCCTCAAGCAGCCAGTTCAACTATGAACTCTAGAATTCAAAAGGACTCTAACCCTAAGTGTCCGCAAGAAGGTAGTCAAGTCTCCATACATTATGTGCAGTCACATTTTGACTGTTCTCGCCACCATCCAGTTTCTTCCGAGTCTACCGATCTCGAGGGATCGAGAAAAGTTGACTTTTCATCTTTTATTGCCGAAGCCATCATTAGCAAACCAGGTGATCCGTTGTCTCAGCGGAATATCACCGTCCTAAGAGACACAGGAGCGTCACATTCACTTCTTTTGAAAAGTTCAATGGACATTACACCTGAGACGAACACCGGAAGGATTTCCATTATCCAGGGAGTGGGGACAAAATCTACTGTCGTCCCTCTACACAAGTTTGCCCTGAAACATCATCTCGTCGAAGGTGAGGTCATTTTAGGTGTGATAGATAGTATTCCTGTCCCAGGAGTACACCTACTTCTAGGGAATGACCTCGCGGGAAGCAAAGTATACCCCTGTACGGTTTCAGACCCTTTGTCAACAGTTCCAGATAATGATAATGAACTGTATCCTGCATGTGCGGTGACAAGAAGCCAGACCAAACAATTGGCTGACACAACGTCTGAACCACATCTACCATCATCGTCAAGAAATTCGACTCCCAAACTGGAGTCTATGCTTCCAGAGAACACAAGTCTGGGCTTACCCCTGAGGATATCTCAGGAAGACATCATTAAAGCTCAACAAGTCGACGCGGAACTCAAAGCAACGGTCGAAAAATCTCTATCATCTGACGATGGAGAATATTTCTCCGAGAACGGCCTCTTCTTTCGTCGCGCTATACCAGTGATTGCCTCACCGGCCGAACCATGGTTGGGTAAAAACCAGCTGTGGATCCCTCCACCTTATCGGCATGAAATACTTAAGCTGGCACATGACCATCCAATGTCAGCGCACCCAGGTGTCACTAAAACGACGGCGAAGATCAAAGAACTGTTCTTTTGGCCCAAAATGAGAAAAGATGTGTCGCGTTACTGTAGAAGTTGCACGAACTGTCAGTTGGCCGGAAAGCCAAACCAGACAATTCCTAAGGCCCCTTTGAGTCCGATTCCTGTATTAGAAGAACCTTTTTCTAAAATCGTCATGGACTGTGTAGGTCCCTTGCCTAAAACCAAGACGGGCAACGAGTACCTACTTACCTTTATGTGTTCAAGTACCCGTTTTCCCGAGGCGATTCCCTTACGGAACATTAAGGCAAAGACTGTAGTCAGAGCCATGACCCGGTTCTTCACTACCTTTGGATTACCTAGAATCGTGCAAACAGATCAAGGCAGCAACTTCACCAGTCACCATTTTCAGGAAGCGCTAGCCAAGCTAGGCGTTACCCACATCACCAGCTCAGCCTACCACCCTCAGTCTCAAGGCGTACTTGAGAGGTTCCACCAAACCCTCAAAACCATGCTAAGGACATTCGCTAACAGTAACACCCAATGGGATGAGTCTGTTCCTTGGATTATTTTCGCCGCGAGGGACTGTGTCCAGGACTCTTTAGGCTACTCGCCTTTTCAACTTGTGTTTGGACATTCTGTCCGTGGCCCCCTGAAGCTGATACACGAACGTTGGACAGGTACCAGTGATCATCCAGTGGAAAACTTCGACGATTTTCACGTTCGACTGAAAGCCGTGTGCGAAATGGCTCACAAGAACTTAAGAAAGGCCCAAGTGAGAATGAAAGGACTGTATGATAAGAGTTCTTGTAAACGAACATTCAATCCAGGCGACAAAGTTCTTGTGCTAGTACCTAATCTGAACAATGCGTTATCCTTGAGAGATTGTGGACCCTTTACTGTGCATTCAAAATTAAGTGATTTGAACTATGTTGTCAATACGCCCGACAGAAGAAAGAAACAGACAGTGTATCATGTCAACTCACTGAAAAAGTATTATGATAATTGTAACAATTTTCATTCCACAGCTAAAATTACTTTACCTGTATGTTCAAATGTTTCTGATGATGTGATACATGATAAATTGAAACCCCCAAAATTGGTAAATTCGTCCTTTTTAGATAATTTGAATGTCCACCTTATGCATTTGTCCACAGAGGAAAGCCATAGATTGTCTCAGTTATTTGAGACATTTCCCTCTATTTTTGGGGATGTCCCCAAAGAAGCGAAGGTTCCACCTCATGATGTAGTCGTAGGTGACGCAAAACCCATTAAACAACACCCCTATAGAGTTAACCCGGAAAAAGCTGCTTTGATAAAAGATGAAATTGATTATATGCTCAAGAATGATATCATTGAGCCCAGTTTCAGCAACTGGAGTTCCCCATGTCTCCTAGTCCCGAAAGACGGTGGATCTTTCAGGTTTGTGACCGACTTTAGGAAGGTGAATGCGCTCACCAAAGCTGATTCCTATCCATTACCTCGGATAGAAGACGTTATTGATAAAGTTGGGCAGGCTAAGATAATTTCCAAAATTGATTTACTTTCAGGATACTGGCAAATCCCATTATCTGACCGTGCAAAAGAAATATCTGCTTTTGTAACCCCTAATGGTTTTTATAGATACAAACGTATGCCCTTTGGTATGCGAAATGCTGGTCAAACTTTCCAGAGGGTCATTAACTCTGTCATTGCTGACATAGACCAATGTGAGGCCTACATAGATGATATAGTTGTATTTTCTAATACTTTTGAAGAACATATTGTTCAATTGACTAACCTTTTTAGAAAATTGTCTGAAGTGAATTTTACTGTAAAC